GAAGCTCAAAAACCATTGGGGCTTATTACTGTGAGCTCCCTCCCTAACTTAAGAGCATAAATACAACAAATGAGTGGCAAAATCATGTTGAAATATAAATTAAGATAAAAAGCAAGCAAAAAACCCCACACTTAATGGATAAAGGGCAGCAAAAAATGAAACACTTAGTAATATCTACATGTGGAGAATCAGCTAACGAGAAATGCTTTCAATCTAGATTTAAAAAGACAGATATAGAGAAGCAGCACTTTGAATATTATGATTTAGTGATCTGAAAAATTTTGGACCCTGAAATATTGTACCAAAAAGTCTCATATTAATATTGTTCGTGCAGGAAATAAGTAGAAAGTATTGGGATATCTAGTATTATAGGAATGAACTTGATTTTTAGAGTGGGGAGAATAATATTACAGTTACTGTTTAGTAGTAGTTAGGATAGGGTGGGAAGTTTTTGTTCTCAGTCTAGATTAGGGTTGTAAAATGAAACTGAACATTATCTAGTGGTAAAAGCTTAAGATTTCAGGGTTCCGGTAGGACACACCCACTTAAAAATTCATAAAGTTCCCCCTCTTTCCCACCCCTCTTCCCCCCTGCCTGTCAAATTATTGCTCTTGGGCTCTTGGTCTGTTGATTTCCGAGAAGAATAGACAAATGCATTTCGCTTGGGTTTTCGCATTTGGTTGTTTAAAGTTGATCTTTTTCCATAGGGAGAGATCCAAGGAATGAGGTTGGTCAGAGGTGGAAATGGTTCTCAATACATTGTGTTTAAATTGATGACAGTCGATTGTAAACTACTTGCAGGTCGGAAACAGAAGGAGCAGCCTGTAGACTTCACAGAACAGAATTTGGAATACTTCAAAAAAGCCACATGGAAGATCAAAGGAGACACTTATGATAAAGTAAAGTATTTCTAGCGTGCATGTACTCGTACATTTTGTACTTCTTACCAGCCTCAAACGTTGGTTACCGGTTGTTTTGATACAAGTTTTTTCATTCGAGGTGTAAATCGTTCCACATACTTGGATTAAAGAACGAAGATATTCATTCAAAAGTTTTCAAAATGTTTTTTGTGTTTACTCGCAACCTATACTTAAAGTGAACCAAATTTTTTGTGCAATTTCACTGCTTGAGTTTGTATCAAAACAACTTGTATCGAAACGACCGATTTGCCAAAGTCCCTTCTCTCAGCATTTTCAAGTAGCTCACTTAA